AGACCAGGACAAACAACCTCCGCAGCAGAGTGCCCACTCCAGGGGTGTCCTGGAATAACTCCATGACCAGGCCATGATACTTACAGTCAGCCTGTAAACTCCAAAGCACAAGATAAACTACCTCCACGGCGGAGCGCCCACTCCAGGGGGATGTCCTGGAATAAGGCTCTCTGACCAGGCCACGAAAGAGTTACACTCAGCCTGCGAACTCCAAAAGTTTGCCAGGCAGAAGTGCATCCAAATCCAGAACACAATTACAGCGATTGTCTTGCAAGACAGAACGTTTGAGTCACAATGCTCACAAGAGCCTGGCAGCAAACCCTATTGTGCCTGATTACACTGTAAACGCACTGTGAATCTGCATTAGAAGCACTTCTACCACAATAATGCGCTTTGACATTCCATACAAAGTGCATTCCAATAAGCATTGACAAACTCGCCATGGGAGGCGGAGGGGGAGGTAGGAAGCAGATGCACAGGTGTGAGCAGGCCATATGGGCCCATTCACACGAGTTCCTGCGTTTACTGTATAACCCGTGTGTGCTGATGTGCATTGTGAAGGGAGGAGCAATGCGTTGTTACAATGCATGACACTGGTTACTTTTTTTTTTTTTTTTTACTTTATTGAAATGTTACAAAATGGCAGCTCATTCCCCTTTATGCACAATCATTGTAACCCATTGCTGTGTGTTGAGAAAAAGGTAAAAATGCAGAGATGCAAGGCACACCAATGCACCGGTATGGTGAAACCAGAGGGCACATAGAGAACAGTTGTCTTCTCTGCGTCCTTGTGTTGAGCCTGCACTGATCAATGCCCATCAAAGCAGCTCAATGCACATGGTGACACACTGGCGATCCTGTTGCTGGTGACAACTTGCCATGAGCAGGATCGCTTTGGAGGACACAGCAGGGAGGAAGTGCGTCAATGGCCCGATCACCAGGAGAAAATGAAGGCCTTAAAAAAGGAAAACTAATGCAGCCACCACATTTAAGGGCTGGTAAGCTGCAATATATACATTTGGTTTTTTTTGGGGGGGGGATCCACTTTAAGGCTGCAGGTATGTTGAGAGGCATCAAGAAAAGCCTGACAGGGGGTTCAACAAACACTCGGGGGGGACTCGGGGGGGTTCAACAAATTAATAACATAATAAAATAATCCACCATGAAGTCATGCGCCCACTCAAGGGGTTGCTTAGAACAGCTCTCTGACCAAGCCGCGAGCTACTCAGTCTATTAACTCCAAAGTACAGGATAAACAACCTCCGCAGTGGAGCGACCGCTCCAGGGATGGTCTCGGATAGCTCTCTGACTAGGCCATGAAAGTTCCAGTCAGCCTGTAAACTCCAAAAAGCACCAGGATAAATGTCCTCCGTGGGGGAGAATACACTTGGGATAGGTCTCTGACCAGGCCATGAGCCAGAGCCATGAAAGAGATACACTCGGGGAGGGGGTTCAACAAATTAATAACAAAATAAAATAATCCACCATGGAGTCATGCGCCCACTCAAGGGGTTGCTTAGAACAGCTCTCTGACCAAGCCGCGATATACTCAGTCTATTAACTCCAAAGCACTGGATAAATGACCTCCACAGTAGAGTGCCCAATCCTGGGGTGGCATGGAATAGTTCTATGACCCGTGAACTCCAAAGCACAAGATACATGTCCTCCGTAGGGGAGAATCCAGTTTGGATAGCTCTCTAACCAGGCCATGAGCCAGAAAGAGATGCACTCAGTCTGTGAAATGCAAGGCACAGGATAAATTACCTCCATAATAGAGTGCCCAATCCAGGGGTGGCATGGAATAGTTCTGTGACCAGGCTACGAAAGAATTACCCTCAGCCCATGAACTCCAAAGCAAAAGATAAAATGTCCTCCATAGGGGAGAACCCACTCCAGGGGTGGCTTGTAATAGCTCTCTGACCAGGCCACAAGCCACATCCACAAAAGTTACACAACTTTTGAACTCCAAAGACCAGGACAAACAACCTCCGCAGCAGAGTGCCCACTCCAGGGGTGTCCTGGAATAACTCCATGACCAGGCCATGATACTTACAGTCAGCCTGTAAACTCCAAAGCACAAGATAAACTACCTCCACGGCGGAGCGCCCACTCCAGGGGGATGTCCTGGAATAAGGCTCTCTGACCAGGCCACGAAAGAGTTACACTCAGCCTGCGAACTCCAAAAGTTTGCCAGGCAGAAGTGCATCCAAATCCAGAACACAATTACAGCGATTGTCTTGCAAGACAGAACGTTTGAGTCACAATGCTCACAAGAGCCTGGCAGCAAACCCTATAATCGATTATAATCGATTATGTCGATTAGTTGTTGCAGCCCTACTCATAGACATTATACAGATTTTGTATCAGACTTTACTCATTATTTTGTCAACTTGTATCCGCGATAAACGAAATCTTTTCTCCATGCGGTTCCAGAGTAGGCCCAACAAATACCCGAAATGACAGACCTAAGGGGCGGACACGTGTTCGCACCCAGAATAAAGTTGTTCTTAGGATCTAAAACGGAGGAATGAAATGTAAATCACTCGCTCCAACATTTAACACTGCAGGTAAAAGTCTTACAATGCAGTTCATCTGTCTGAGGCCGGCCATACACCTATCAAATATTCTCCGTTCAACCCGCGGGCTGAACAAAAAAAAAAACCCACTGACCCGATTCCTCCATCAAACACAAACAGCGGCGATCCCCTTCAGCGTCGATCGAGGAATCGCCGCCGTTTACATTGCATTCTGACAGGTGCCGCCGGCCGCTGCCAGCGTACCCTATCAGAAGGGGCGGCTCATTGGCTGCCGCCTCTGATCGATTGAAAATTTTCCCGCCGGCTCCTTTAATCAGCTGATCGAGGAATGCCGGCTGAAAAGGGAGCCGACAGCCCCACACACTGTGCGGATTTCAGCCGGTACATTAAGAACCGGACGAAATTCAGCCAGTGTATGGGCACCTTAAATCTGGCCATGCACCTTTATCGTTCGACTTTCTTCCCGGCATCGCACCCCTGTTAGATTTCCGCTCGAATACCCCATCATGCACAGACCATTACCGTTCCGTTGGTACCGATACTAACTGGCCGAATTTCGTAAATTTTTTTCCTCTGAAAACGGCACCAATCCATCGATATTCGTAACATTCAAAAAAAGTTTTACAGCCTGACCGATCGAGGAAAATTCAGCCAGCTGTACAGTAATTGTGATCGTTCACTTAAATGCTTTCAGACATTCCATTCAGACCTCGGCCAGCCAGTCAATAGATGTAACCAGTAAAATAATTGGCATTTTTTAAAAGCCAAAACAGCCGAGAAAAAGGAAAAAAAAAACTAAATCCACCGTATCTGCAAGATTTTATATTCTTTTTAAAAAAAAAAAAGTTCTAATAAATAAAAATGGAAATGCAGCATTAAAAACATTGAAATGTAGATCAGGTCCGGCATTCTGGATTTTAAACCTCTTGACATTCATTAATTCAGTGGCTGTTTTGCATTCCGCAGAAAATGGTGGAGAACCCTATGCCAGCCTGATAGAGCATCCTTTGAGGTATGAATTGGGGAAAAAAAAAAACAGGCTTCCAATCAGAGTAAACACGGCCTGGCTGCTTCCGGAGGGTATAAAATAAAAATGCACTTTTACTCTGTACACAAAAGGGTCAGCAGGGAAAAAGGAGAAGACACAACACCATACACAAAAATAAAAAAATAGGACGTGATCAAAGCCCGGGCAGAATATACCGGGCCGGAGCCAACTCACACCACCCACTTCCTCCATCATCCAAAAACGTTTTCATTTGCTGACTATTCTGCATTACAACGAGTCAATTCTGAAGATATTTGTAAATAAAGTCACAGGAGCGGTTTGCTGAAAAGCAGGATACACCCCCCCCTCCAGAGTTACGTTCAAAAACATTTCAGGTTATTTTTCTTCATTTTACTAAATGACATTTTTAAAAGGTAAAAAAAAAGCGCCGCCCACCGGAGCAGCAGTGACGCGACGCTCGGCGAGGTAAGTAAGAAGAAACCTGACCACTGGACCACGCTGACTCGAGTATAAGCCGAGGGGGGCACTTTTCAGCAAAAAAAAATGGGCTGAAAATCTCGGCTTATACTCGAATACATACATACATACATACATACATACATGCATACATACATACATACAATTATTTTTTTACATTTATATTTGTGGTCCGCGGGATTTAAAATTATGAATTTAGTGGTCCATGAGGTCCTAAGGGTTGGAGACCGCTGACCTAAAGCTTTGAAAGCGCCAACATATAACACAACGTAGCAATAATCAGATACATGAAGACGGCCCTGATACTCTAACATCTCAGGAGCACCGAGGAGTTTACGTCCATGAAACAAGAATAAAATCATCATCATCATCATCATCATCATCAGGTGCCAAGAGTTTGCTCAGCGATTTACAATATAAGGAAGACAATAGAAAGGAAGGCAAGGTGGTAAGGAGGGCAGACACTAAATTCTGCCTTTAAGAACTCGATCCCAGTCAGATTTTGGCAGGGAGAGCATAGAAGACACCAACATTCTCAATACACAAATTACTTGGCAGAATCAATTTGTCTTTGCGTCAGTAAAAAAAAAAAAAAAAAAACCTTTCAAAGTAAAAGCAGATTTCTTTATAGAGGGTTGCCCAACCCTCCAGGCAACGTGCTTATGGGATTTACAAGTGAATTATTGAAATCATTAAAATAGCCTTCAGGTCTCTCGCGGGGGAATAAAAGCCAGCACCAGGCAATCCAAGTGCTGGTTCCGGGTCCTTAAATACATTCCACACGGACATAATTAACGATATCTCACCGATACCGAAAAATTTAAAAAAAAAGCCCACAATGGAGAGTGGACAGGCTAAAGACTGAAGGATACCCCCCGGTGAGATGGAAAAAATATTGCCAAAAAGCTTTCACATTCACATTCAAAAAGCTGCAATGGCAGCAACGGCAGCCGTGGTGGTTTTTTGTTTTTTCCTACCAGAAGGGAAGTTTGCTGGGAGGAATCCTTTCGGGTTTGCAACGAGCGTTCTCCACAGGATGGGATTCCGCTGACTCCAGACACTTTCCCACTTGAACTTGGAGAGGAGCTGAAGCCCTGGAGAAGGGGGGAAAGAAAACATCTTTAAACTTTAATGTCTTC